TTTTACGGGGGGAGAGAGAGAGAGAGAGAGAGAGAGAGAGAGAGAGAGAGAGAGAGAGAGAGAGGTTACCTTGTGTCGATGGCTGGTTGTGGGTGCAGCGAGGTCGGTGGAGGTCGGCGGATGCAGGCGGATGTAGGCGGAGGCCGGCGCAGGTAGGCGCAGGCAGGCGGAGGCAGGCGGAGGCAGGCCGACACAGGCGGAGGTAGGCGGAGTCCGGCGGAGGCCAGCGGAGCCAGGCGCAAGCAGGCGAAGGCAGGCGCAGGCAGGCGGAGGCCGGCGGAGGCAGGCGGAGGCAGGCGCAGGCAGGCGGAGGCAGGCGGAGGCAGGCGCACGTAGGCGGAGGCAGGCGGAGACGGGCGGATGAACGTGGAGGTAGGCGCAGTCAAGCGGAGGTCGCATACGAGTGCAGGCGGACAATCGTGAATGATGGTGCAGCAATCTCGCGTCTGGTCTGGGCCAGGGTTAGTGATCTGGAAAACGGTGCTGGTAAGCCGGGCGTTTCCTGCGTTGGGCCTGCGAAAATATCGAGAAAAAAAAAAAGGTGTCGGCTTTTTTTTTCGTTGGTACCGGTCTTCGTTTCGTTTGTGCCGGCCATCCTTTTTTTTTTTGGTACCGTCCTATTTCAAGGTTGGTACCGGCCTCTTCCAGGCTGGTACTGGCCTCTCTTTTGTTGGGTGTTGGCCTCTTCCTGTAGTCACGGGCCTCATCTCCGTCGCTGCCGTCGTGGATTTCGGCGATGCTTCCTCTTCGCCTCCTTCCAACTTGGAACCTGCGCAAACGCAGCTTGGGCTTCATATCTCTTCTATCGTGTGCTTAGTTTCTCTTCTGTCGTGCTGCACGGTTCTTATTCTTCATTGAGCGATTGCAAGAGAGGAGAAGACAAGGAGATGATAGTACAAATCTACGATAGAAGAGAGATGAACATGTGAGAATAGAGGAACGTATGCTTGACAAGTAGATAAGAGGAGGATAGAGGAAACGAAAGCGGTAAAGAAGATAAGAACCAAGAGGAGAGCAGCGTTGTGCCCTCTGTTGATTCCACGATGACTCGCAAAGGTATGTGTTCCCTCTGTGAGGAACGACACGTAATCTTTTTTTTTAACTTTTTTTCCATTTTTTATTTTTCAGTATTGCGATTTGGGGGACTAATCGAAGAGGGTGGGGAATGCTGGATCATGTATGGCGAAACTGTGAGGTGGGGGGTGGGGGAGAAGATCTCCCTCCAATCTCTCTCCCCCATTCTCTTTCTTTTTTTTTTACCTTTTTTCGTATTTTTTTCCGGTATTGCGATTTGGGGAAGTAATCGAAGATGGTTGGGAATGCTGCATCTTGAATGGCAAAACTGTGAGGTGCGGGGTGGGGGAGAATATCACCCTCCAATCTCTCTCCTCCATTCTCTTTAATTTTTTTTTTTACCTTTTTTCGTTTTTTTTTTTGGTATTGAGATTTGGGGGACTAATCGAATAGGGTGGGGAACGCAGGATCATGTATGGCAAAACTGTGAGGTGGGGGGTGGGGGAGAAGATCTCCCTCCAATCTCTCTCCCCCATTCTCTTTCTTTTCTTTTTTTTTTACCTTTTTTCGTTTTTTTTTTCGGTATTGCGATTTGGGGGACTAATCGAAAAGGGTGGGGAATGCTGGATCTTGTATGGCGAAACTGTAAGGTGGGGGGTGGGGGAAGAAGATCTCCCTATAATCTCTCCCCCCCCATTCTCTTTCTTTTTTTTTTCCACCTTTTTCCATTTATTTTTTTTTCTGTATTGCAATTTGGGGGACTTATCGAAAAGGGTGGGGAATGCTGGATCTTGTACGGCGAAACTGTAAGGTGGGGGGGTGGGGGAGAAGATCTCCCTCCAATCTCTCCCACCCCATTCTCTTTCTTCTTTTTTTTTCACCTTTTTCGATTTTTTTTTTTTGTATTGCGATTTGGGGGACTAATCGAACAGGGTGGGGAACGCTGGATCATGTATGGCGAAACTGTGAGGTGGGGTGGGGGGGGGAGAAGATCTCCCTCGTCTCTATCCCCCCTTCTCTTTCTTTTTTTTTTACCTTTATTGCGTTTTTCTTTCGACATTGGGATTTGGGGGCCTGATCGAAGAAGGGGGGGGGGGGGGGAAGGCGTCAGTTAGGGGGGGGGGGGGGGGGGGGGGGGGGGGGGGGGGGGGGGGGGGGGGGGGGGGGGGGGGGGGGGGGGGTGTGGGGGGAGTGTACGGCGTTTTCGAAAACGCCGTACCCCCTCGACCCTGTTCACATACAGGGCCGAGGGGTACGACGTTTCGATAACGCTGTACCCCCTCCGGTTCTCGGTGGGGGTGGGAGCGGGGGTACAACGTTCTCAAAACGCCATACGCCCGCTCCTTTCGCCTCCCTGCAGCCGAAGGGGGTACGACGTTCTCAAAACGCCGTACCCCCTCGGCCCTGTATGTGAACAGGGTCGAGGGGGTACGGCGTTTCGAAAACTCCGTACCCCCCCTCCGGTTCTCGGTGGGGGTGGGAGCGGGGGTACGGCGTTCTCAAAACGCCGTACCCCTGCTCCTTTCGCCTCCCGGCAACCGAATGGAGTACGGCGTTTCGAAAACTCCGTACCCCCTCCGGTTCTCGATGGGGGTGGGAACGGGGGATCGGCGTTCTCAAAACGTCGTACCCCCACTCCTTTCGCCTCCCGGCAACCGAAGAAGGTACGGCGTTCTCAAAACGTCGCACCCCCTCTGTCGTGCCGCCGACGAGTGTGGCGTTTCAAGAACGTCGTACCCCAGCCCCTTCCCTGTCCGAGAACTGGAGGGGGGACGGCCAGTATGTGGGAATTGTCGCGCCCCTCTTTCCAATGTCCAAATACGTAGAAGGCGTATACCGGGTGAAACTCAAATGCGTCCGCGACTTACGTGAGGCGATAGTGAAAGGTTTCATATCTGAATGCGATCCGTTCTTCTGCTTGGAATGTGCCTACCGTCAGGAGGAACATCTGCTATCCCGGAGAAGAGAGTGTATAACACGTGCACAATCTATAGAGATAGGGAGTGGGCCCTCGATTGGGTGGGGGGGCTACACGAGGCGGGGTGTTGGGCCGCTGTGTTTCTGAAGAACGACACGGGTGACGACTGGTTCTGTGTTAGAGGCATTATTAAATCCGAGGACGAGAGGATGGACGGACACGGACGGAAGTTCATGAGGTTTTTCCTCACAACGGTGTTTGACGAACAAGGAGTGGACCATGCGAAGGCCGACCATAAAGTTAGCCTTGATTACAATCTGTTCAAGGGGTATGGCGCTAAGGCTATTACCATGAAAGCCTTCGATGTGTCCCCGAAAGAAGACGGGAGTGTGTTGACCATGCTTGGCCCCGTGAAATTCCTCGCCAAAACGAATGGGCACAGGAGATCCGGAAACAGTCCCACGGTAGAGGCCGGGCATCGTATGTCCCCGACATTCGTGCCTTTTGACATGCCGGACGAGGATCTCCCCGGAATAGCAATGACAGAGAGACAGAGGACGCCACATTGTTTTCCAACGCAGCAGACGTCAGCGAGTGGAAGACGGCGCCGCAACAAACAGAGCCAGCCACGTCGTCCGGCAGGCGAAAAGGACCATGGTCCTCCTGTGGGTTCGACCCGCCTGAAGGAATGTGCTGGACCGTCTCAGCCATCCAGCCGGCAAGACAAAGGCACCCCTGTCATCACATACAAAAGGAAGGTCATGGCAACTCCTCCCTCTCCCACTCGCCAGAAGGACGGAGGTGATGCGTCCAAGAAACTGGCGCTACGAGAGATAAGCGAAGGATCGGACGAGGAAACGGAGGAAGATCCTAGGATTTGTATTGGTTGATATCCACAGGGTAATCATGTCGTCGACGATGATGAATGTGGTATCGACGAGGACGATGTCAAAGAGGAGAAAAGCGAGAGAGAGAGAGAGAGAGAGAGGATTGTGAGGAATCTATGCACGACTGCGAGGGTGGGGAGTCTCAACAGTACTATGAGGAGGACAACGGGGGCGATGGAAAAAACGATGATGCCTATCCTGTCGTTGATGAGGATGGACGGCAAGAACGGTCGACTGATGTGGAGGTCGACAACACAACAGGAGAGCGGTTGGAGGCCAGTGTCCAGAAAAGGAAGCGACAATCTTCAACAATTCCAACAGAGGCGGCAGATAAGCGTGCTGCGAAGAAACTCACTGTCGTTGCATCTCGGCAGGCGCTCAGAGCTTCTCAAGAGGCGGTCACTGAAAGCGTGAAGAAACAAAAAGGGTCCACGTTAACCAGGGCGACAAAAACGGAGAAACGTCCACCGAAAAGAAAGCAGATGTTTGATGAGGGTGACTCTGGAGAGGATGCCGAAGAGGTTCCTCCAAGAGTTGTGTCGGAACAGACAACCTTCCGCCAACACCCATGATGAAGCCATCAACACAACACAGTGCTTCTTCTTGGAATTCGATGAAGATGGGTTTGCGAAGAAGAAACGGGAACACATTGAAGTGAACGTCACGAAGATCTTGCCAATCCCTGAAGGTGACATCCTCATCAACCATAGAACGTTGGACGCAACGTTGGTGCAGTCCATATATGATGCGATCCATAATGCCGCCAAGGAAACCAACAGGAAGTGGGATTTCATGACTTTCATCCTGGCTCCCATTGTGCCCAACAGGGACGGGTCTCAAGGCAAACGGATCACACCGGAGCAATTCGACGTCGAACTCGTTCATACATACAACTGGTATGCTGTTGCTGGCCAGCACACGGCTGAGGCAATGAACAGACTCGTTAAAGACAAGTCACCGACCGAGAAAGTGTATGGCTTGAGGTCATACTCTCACGTACACGTTGTCTATTTTAACGATGACACATAGAGAGGAAGCGTTCATGAACGTCGTCTGCAAAATGACACCTGATTCCAGTCTCATGAACTCGTCCCTGGAGAACGACTACTGCAAGGACTGGACGAACAAGATGCGCGGATACATGAATCTTGCGCAATGCAGCGAAACAGTGTGGCCACTAGTACATAAATTCTTTGACATGTACGAGAAGGGGCTATTGCTGCGAGTCGACGGTGTGAGATACATCGACCTGCCGGGGAAAGTGGACGGGAGGCTGCCTGGGCAATACTTCCTCAAGGACAACTCCGGCAAAAAAGTTATGTTCCACTGCATCAAGCCCAGGGAGGGGCCACCAGGCGCAACGGTGTCTATACCTAACTTGACGCCGTCAATCTTCAAGCTGTTCGGCGATATGACAGCGAGAGAGAAGCAAGTGGCGCTTCACCACATGATGCGTGATGATGTCATCGTGACATCACGTACGGTACCTCGTGGTAGATGCAACATGGCGGACCTGGTGAAATATACTCGGCGTGAAAGATATATGGTCCGTATGTTCAACTACATATTGTTCAAGGCCGAGCGGAGGTCAAAAGAAGAGTGGAGCGCTGACTTCGTCATCGGTTATACGACCATCTTGGAGAGGTACAACAAAAACAGCCTGACGGACGAGAAATGGACCAAGGAACGCGACCGCATCCCTGACGACAAGGCGAGGAAGGTGCCGAGGCATTTGGGCAGTCCTGATGAGATTAATGGTGAGAACGGTGCGGGATTGGAGGCAACCCAAGGCATGTACAAGGAAACCCCGTTCCACCTCAAGTGTTTCATCTATGAGGCGATCGACTGCTTGAACGACCTGAGAGCGGAGGTTAATCGGATATCCTCCAGTGCTTGTTGGTACGGCGAGGGGGACGAAGATACGGGCAACCATTCTTGATATGTCAACATCACCAAAATGTGTTCCGTGGGATGATAACGCCTTTTCCAAACTGTACGCTTTCCTCATGACATGCTGTGGCGAAAACCAGGCCTTGATCATTTTCGCGCCGATGAAACACCAGAAACAGGTGATGCAGAGTGTACAACTGAAATGATGTTGAGGTGCTCACAGGGTCATGGTACAAACACTATACACCTTCGACAACCTTGAACAAGTACGACAACATTGCAGTTCGGTACACTGACATGATGGTTATTGTCCTCCACTCTGAGAACGACAATTTGGACAATATAACAGTTGCGCCGAAATTGCAAGCCGAGTTGACAAATTTGAACGTTGAAGAGGGTGAATTTGTGAGGTGCTCAGGGGAATGTATCGGCGTGGAGGGCGACACTGACGCGGTTTATTCTTGGATGGAACAAGAGTCAGCACGTCTCCGAAAACTGTGCAGCTCGTTCATCAGGGAGGACGATGGCGTGATGTTGTTGGGCAGGACGCATGCGGGACTGGTTTGGGAACTCGCTCGCGCTGGACACCACGTGTTTGCGTGTGACGACACGACAAAAGAGCTCACATACCTTTCCAAGTTTTTGGAGTTTTATGTGAAGGATCCGAGGAACAAATGTAGGTTCGAAAAGCCTAAAGTCGAGCACCGCAACCACCGGGACATATACTATAAGCTCGACAGAAAGAGGGGGAAAGTGTGGGTTTACTTGTTCGATGACGCTCCACAGTCGGCGGTTGATAACGACTACGTCATCAGGAAAAGTGAACTCGAGATAGCAATGAACGAGTACCACGGATCGCGAGCATGTGTTCAACAAAGCACACAGAGAAGCACAATGGGGGATTCCGCAATGATACGCAAGGACGGCGACGACATGGAGTCGCGCACAATCACAGAGCAGCCAACGTGCGGGGTCAACGACGGGGCAACAATCGTTGGATCTTTCGGGTCTCTTGTGGCGACAATGGCGGCGAGGCAAGGCGTATCTGAGATGATGGAGACCGATGCTGGCCAGGATGGTGAAAGCCAGACGGTGAAGGCGGTGCAAGAGGAGGTGGCAGCAACAACAGAGGAGACGAAGAAAGGTGAGGGATCCCGCGAACACAATTTCATAATAGATATTATATCGGAGAGTACGGGCGAGGATATGATCCAAGATAACAACCAGAAAGATGACCACGCTGCACAACGAGTGGGCGGTGACGACGAAGAGGACGCGCAACAACCGAGACGGTCAACGAGAGCAGTAATTAAGAAAACTGTGTTTGATGCGTAGGGAAGCCTTAAACGGGCATGGACGTTTACACGTTTCCGGTTATATTAATGTGTCGCCCCAAATCATGGTGCGATATTCACCCGGTCCTCACATGGGGTGTCTACGCATTTCTGGTGATATTGATAGGTTGCCGCTAGGTACTATGTTAGAAAACTATATTAGACAGGAATGGGTGTCTACGCGTTTTAGGTTATATTGTTATGTTAATGAAAGTGTTATTGTGACACTGCAATTCTCGAAATTGTACAGAAGGTGCCCTATCTCAATACGTAGGGGTGTGTGTGTGTGTGTGTGTGTGTGTCTGTGTGTGTGTGTGTGTGTGTGTGTGTGTGTGTGTGTGTGTGTGTGTGTGTGTGTGTGTGTGTGAGTAGGCAGAGGTGGACTCATCAGCATCGTTGGGTTCTGTGGGTCGATAAAATTGTGTGCGTGTGCTTGGTACAGTTTTATAATAAAGGCATATGAAAACACACTATATGGGGCACTTTGCCTGCCATGTGTCAAGGACACCTCTTATTTCAGATAACTTGTTATGTCATCTTCTAGCGCATTGCGAATGGTCGTCTTAACCTAAATCCCCAAGAACTTGAAAAAAGAAAATCATACTAACGAAATGGGAAAGTAAAAAAAAAACGTGAAAATATGTGAAACAGCAAGGCTAGAGTAGTGAACTTATATTCAAAATATTGCCAACCACAGTGAACATGAACATCAGAAAACAGATGGAAGCAGGGTTACCGTTAACCACCATAGATCGCGATAAGTATTATTGATCAATTTGCTTTAAAAAAATACATGAAAATTGGAAAGAATTGTAGTTGTGTTATGCGGCATATTACGAGGAAGATGGAGGCCGGGGTATTCATGTCACCTCGCTATAGTATCCTGTTGCCAGGATTTAGCAATTGAAATTTTCTCGGCCGTTTCGAGCATGCAAATATGGCAGGCCCCAATAACGATAGCTTACGCTGGCGCATAATGCATTGTCATGTGTAGAAAGGAGGAACATAAAAGAAGTACGAAGATGCAAACAGGGATGGACGATCCGCTTAGCAACGGATAAGTTATCGGAGAAGGAGACGGCCGCGGTGCAACATTTATGAGATTCAGTGCAAGCGGAGAATCGGACGGTCTGGACATCCACGTACAACGGGGCAACAAAAGAAGAACGAACACTAATCGGGCATGATTTGTGGTTGATAATGTTTCAAGGCAATTGGTTGAACACTGATATAGTTAACTTTTATTTGAACCTCGTTAGGCTTGACAACATTTGTCGCATAAGCCATCGCGAGTGTGATAGTGGACAAGACGGAACCATAGTAGAAGGAAAAGGACGCATCCCGATAACAACAATTTTTAGTTCCTTCTTCTTCGCGAAATCGTTCGACGACGACATGCAATACCAATATAGCGTACTGCAAAAGTGGATGACAGATATCGATGTGGGTGACGTGGACTCAATAATAGTTTCATTCCATGTCCGGATGTCCAACCATTGGACACTAGTAATAGCAGACTTAAGGCGCCTGAAAATTGAGTACTACGACTCGCTTACCCCTGACAAAGAATTGGCAAGGAAAGTGACAGGTGGTTTCGCAAGATTCTTGTTCGAAAGATTGGTTGAACAGGGTAAGGTGGTGGATACAAAAGATTTCAACCACATATGGAATGTGTCAGGCATTCCTCGACAGCGCGGCATTAACGAATGCGGTGTGTTTATGCTAACATATGCGTCGCTGTTGGCAAGAGGATACCTCCCGCCATTCAACTTCTCTTTCGACGACATCCACAATATAAGGGGACGAATCGCTTTAGATGTACTTGTCACACCGAAGTAGGAGTTACTTGTGCAACAAAGGACATTTGATAGACGACATTATCAAAGCAAAACATTTGTCATTTTTTTGCAAATGTAAACAGTTCATTGGCTCTCCTAGATAGACACCCATGAACATGTTCGAATGTATTAAACAAAGCAACAACACGACATGCCCGATTGAACACCATTACTGTGTTACTTCAGATGACGTTGTACCCCTTACCCCTTACCCCTTACCCCTTACCCCTTACCC